GGCGCCCTACTCACTGAGCCACAGGTGCCGCCCCCTACTGGGCATTTTCTTATCATTGTGGGAGACTTTAGAGCCATTTAAAGTTTAAGTTAAGTAAAATTACATTAAAAATCTAGTCTCTAGGTTGCACTGGGCAAATTTCAAGTACTCAGTCACCAGCGGCTAGTTTTGGGGTTTTTTTTGAGTCTCACTCTCTTGCCCAGACCAAAGTGTCATGGTGTCAGCCTAACTCAATTCACTTGACCCCTAATCTCAGACTACTCAGCAAAAGCGATCCTCCTACCTCAGCCTCCAGAGTAGCTAGGACTACAGGCACCTGCCACAATGCTCAGCTAATTTTTTCCATTTTTAGTGGAGACGGGGTCTCATTTTGTTTATGGTGGTCTCAAACTCCTGACCTCAAGGGATTCTGCACCTGGGTCTCCCAGAGTGCTGAGATTACAGGTTTGAGTTATCATGCCCAGCCATCCAGTGGTTATTTTTTAACGTACTTTTTAATATTCTCTAATTTATTCAACTAGAGATATGTCCATTACTGCAAACAGTTCTTTTGGATGGTGCTGCTCTGAACATTCTGGATACCAGTTACTCTTCAGTTATTTCTGTTATAACCATCTCCTCACACTTGATAGTTGGCCTTTTCTATCTATGTATGGTGACTTTTGACAAAAAAGAAGTGCTTAATTTTAATATAGTCCAATTTATAAATCTTCTCTTTTAAGGTTGCTGCTTCTATTACCTTTCATGACTTCAGAAATCCTTCCTATCTTGAGATGCTCATGATTTTCCTATAAGATCTTCTAAAAGTGCTACAGTTTTTGTCTTCTACAGTTAGGTCTAAGATTCTTGGAACTGATTTTTTGTGTCAGTGTCATTTATGTGTGGACAAGGAACTGTGCTAGCACCATAGCCACAATGTCACCTCTCCCAGGCACAAAATCCACACACATGTGTGCATCCGTCTGGCTGTCTGCCCTGCCCCAAACCACCCTACCTCAGTGACAATGGCTTTACACTAATTCTTCATGTCCTGGTTAGGCAAATCCTCTCACTTTATTCTTCTTTACTAAACACTTTTTTTTTTTCAAAACAGATTTTGGATCTCTTGACATTTCACACTTGGATATATATATTTTAAAACTAGTTTATTAAATACCACCCAAAAAACATCTGGTGAAATGATGAATGCACTGAATCTACAAATCAACTTTCCATGGTTGATTTGTTCTAGCCCTAGTAAGGAAATGTGCCAGGCTGTCCTATTACCATAAAAATAAAACAAATCCTATTTGGGAACAAGATCTGTCCTAAGACAGAGCTATAACTTATGAAACATATACAATGTTTATTTTATTTATTTATTTATTTTTTGAGACAGGAGCCTCAAGCTGTCCCCCTGGGTTGAGTGCCGTGCCATCTCAGCTCACAGCAACCTCCAACTCCTGGGCTCAAGCGAGTCTCCTGCCTCCGCCTCCCAAGTAGCTGGGACCACAGGTGCCCACCACAGGCACCTGCCACAGGGCCCGGCTATTTTTTGGTTGCAGTCGTCATTGTTGTTTGGCAGGCCCGGGCTGGATTCGAACCCACCACCTTGGGTGTACATGGCTGGCGCCTTAGCCACTTGAGCCACAGGTGCCGAGCCACAATGTTTTTTTTATTTTATTTTATTTTTTTGCTGTTTTTGGCCGGGGCTGGGTTTGAACCTGCCACCTCTAGCATATGGGGCTGGTGCCTCCTTTGAGCCACAGGTGCCACCCAAAACATATACAATGTTTAAAACTTGGTTCAACATAGCCATGGCTGAACTCTAAAATTGATTTTTTTTTTCATAGAGACAGAGTCTTACTTTATCGCCCTCGGTAGGGTGCTGTGGTGTCACACAGCTCACAGCAACCTCCAACTCCTGGGCTTAGGTGATTCTCCTGCCTCCTGAGTAGCTGGGACTACAGGCACCCACCATAATGCCTGGCTATTTTTTTTTGTTGTTCCAGTTTGGCCGGGGCCAGGTTTGAACCCACTGCCCTTGGTATTATACGGGGCCAGCGCCCTACCCACTGAGCAACAGGTGCTGCCCTCTAAAATTGATTTTTAGGTTAAGTTGTCTCAAGTTTTATGAGACAATTATAACTATTACAAAACACCTGAGCGTACTGACCTTACCTTGAATAACTGGTATGTAACGTGCAAGCAGCTTTGCCCTTTTCTTTTCATACCCTTTTTGAGTGATGTCACCTAAAACAATAATGGAAAAGAGAATTATTTATTATAGATCCAAATATTTAGTTAAAAGTTAATTCATGGCTCTCTTCCCCTAAGCAGCCTGAGGTGATCTGTGAAAATGGTTCGCTATTCACTTGATGCAGAAAACCCCACACAAGTCAAGAGGCTCAAATCTTCGTGTTCACTTTAAGAACACATGAAATTGCCCAGGCCATCAAGGGTATGCATATACAAAAAACCATCAAGTATCTGAAGGATGTCACTTTAAAGAAATAGTATATACCATTTAGAGGTTACAGCAGTAGAACTGGTATAGATGTGCCCAGGCCAAACAGTGAGGCTGGACACAGGGTAGGGGGCCCAAAAAGAGTGCTGAATTTTTGCTCACTCTTAAAAATGTAGAGTGTAATGCCAAACTTAAGGGTTTAGATGTAGATTCTCTGGTCATCGAGCATATCCAAATGAACAAAGCACCCAAGATGCATCACAGAACTTACAGAGCTCATGGTCACATCACCCCTTCTGTGAGCTTCCCCTGCCACATCGAGATGACCTTTACTGTAAAGGAACAAATTTTTCCCAAACTAGAAGAGGAGGTAGCACAGAGGAAAAAAGTATCCCAGAAGTAATTGAAGAAACGAAAACTTATGGCACAGGAATAGATGCAACAAAAACAAATGCAAATGAAAGTAAAAAAAAAATTAATGATCAAAAAATTGGAACCAATGTCCTTCAACTGGGTGGATTGGATAAATAAACTATGATGGAGCCATATAACAGAATACCATTCAGCAGTAAAAAGGAACAAACTATTGATACAGCAATTTGGATAGATCTCACACACATATTGCTAAGTGAAAGAAGCCAGACTCAATAGGCTATGTACCAAATGTTCCATCTGTAGGAAATTCTGGAAAAGACGAAACCACAGAGTTAAAGACAGATAGTCATTGCTAGGGGCTGAGAGTGGAGGAAGAATAAGGGAATTTTAGGGGCAGTGAAATTGTTCTTTGTCTTGACTGTAGTGATAGTTTCAAACCTTTTTCAAAACTTCATACACTGTACAACAGAAAGGGTGAATTTTACTATATGTAAATAATACTAAGTATTAAATTTTGATTAGCACCCCTTGGGAGATTGTCAAAAATGCAGACTCTGAAGCCACAACTAGAACAAACAAAATTCAAATTGCATTTTATCAAGATCTTCAGGATTCCTGTGCAGAGTCAAGTTTCAGAAGTAATAGAACATGGGGCCCAAGGAGTACAGGCTCTCTCTGGCTAAGGGGTCCCCCTAGGGGAGGAGGCAGAAGCTGGGTTTTCTTCATATGTTTGTTTGTTTTGAGACAGAGTTAGTAGAGATAGGTCATGCTCTTCTTTAGGCTGGTCTCCAACTCCTGAACTCAAGGAATCCTCCTACCTCACCTTCCCAGAGTGCTAGGATTATAGGAAAATGGCTATTGTTCCAATAAATTATCATAAGGAAAAACAGCCTGAAGGCAAATAAACCACCTAGGAAGGAGGAAAGAAATGTTTTTTCATGGAAATACCTTGTAATCCAAGCCACTATTTGGCTTCCTACACAAAACAGGAACTGCTCATAGTGAGTCTGTGATATTTTGAAGACTTCATTTGGACAGAAATATATATTGCAGGCCAGGCATGGTGACTCAACACCTGTAATCCTAACTCTGTGAGGTTGAGATGGGAGGATTCCCTGACTCAGGAGTTTAAGATTTACACAGGGTGTAAGCACCCCAGCCTGGTCAGCGCCAGCCACCTAGGAGGACCTGCTGCGCCTTCTGCATCTCCGCTAGCAGTTGGTGCAACAGACAACAGGAGGCAGAGCTGGAGAACTAAGTGCGACAGAGAGGGCAAGTGCAGTTGAAGTCCGCAGGTCCCTAGTTAGTTAAGGGAGACCATGGTATGGCCCAGGCTGCTGCTGGTGCCAACCCCAGAACCACCCTTGGACCTAGAGAGCCCTCCACTGGCTGCACTACTCCCCTGTGAGCATTTGAGCATTTCACAGTCCCAAAGGTAACACAGGGTTCCCCCATTCAGGGGGACCCCTCATTTCCTAGGCCTGGCCAATTTCATGAATGGACTGTATCCATTCATCAAGACCTTTATTCACCTTGCCCCAGCAGAAGGGACTGTATCCATTTATTTGCTACCATGTCCTGGCCAAATGTAACTACAAAGGACACACACGACTATATATAACCCTAGACCAGTGGTTATCAATCTTCCTAATGCCTCCCTCGACCCTTTAATACAGTTCCTCATGTTGTGGTGACCTCCAACCATAAAATTATTTTTGTTGCTACTTCATAACTGTAATTTTGCTACTGTTAGGAATTGTAAATGTGATATGCAGGATGTATTTAGGCGACCCCTGTGAAAGGGTCATTCGACCACCAAAGGGGTCACAACCCACAGGTTGAGAACCACTGCCCTAGACAAAGAACCCAGGAACAGAGAGATATTTTCTGACTTGAGTCTTTCCCTCTGCCAGGAGCTTTGGTGCGCTTTTGTATTATTTTCTGTAAAATAAATCCTGTCTTACCACTGACCTGTGGCCTATGGATTCACTCTTTGAATCCCTGAGACAAAGGGAGACCTACTGAAGAAGAAATTCCAGTATCAAGACCACCCTAAGCAAGAGTGAGACCTCATTTCTAAAAAATAGGCGTTCTGAACCCGGCTTGTGCCAAGCACATAGACATGATGAATCAGGTATGGTTTCTATGCTCAAGGGATCATCTTGACCTAGGGCAGCGGTTCTCAACCTGAACTATATTTAAGGGCCCCAGCATTAGGAAGGTTGAGAACCACTGGCTTAGGGGCTGAGAGGCCTCCCAAGTAGAGTAGCCTTGGGGAAGAGAAGTTGCCAAAGAGCAGGGTCAGCAAGGCTTTCTGGCAGAGGTGACCCTTGAACCTGGTAATGCGATAACACGTAGTAATCCTTCAAATGTTGATATAAACTGATGCAGCTGAATGAAGAGGGAAGAGGATTTTAGACTGAGGACACTGGATCTGCCAACTGCTCAGATGAGAGCCAGCCTCAAGTTCCATTCATTCAGCAAGTATTTTCCGAACCCATCACACAAAGAGCGCCAAGTATGAAGACAACTACAGGATGTGCCAGGGACGACAGGCTTCTCAGGGACGTGCTTGAGTTACACCTGAAGACTTGTGGGAGTTTCTGTTTGTGGGACTTGGTTGTGACCTATGCGGCACAGTAGGGGTTCAGAAGTGCCTGTAGGCACCCTGCCTCTGTTGTGGAGTAGAGGATTCTGAATGCTCAGCACTATCAAGGACAGAAGCTGGACCTCTGGAGACCATTCTGGACCTCTGGGAAAGCCCCACAGCCTTGGCTGTGCCTGCCTCTGCCCTTGTACTCCTACCCTAACCCTGTCCTGCTTGGCAGCCTTGGTCTGTGTCATTAGTGGACTCAGTGTACCAGAGATAGACACCCAGGTATCCTCCACCCAGGCCTGGAGGGAGGGGAGAGGACATCATTTAAAAAACAAAGGCAGGGAGTTTAGGCTGTGCTGAGCCCTCAGCCCCTCTCCCACTTGCTGGGATTGAGGTGACACAAGATGTTGCTAGAGGTGCGAGAGGAGGAAAATCTACTGGGGCTATTTCCTTTTCCCTTGACTTTCTTGTGGCAGGGGAAGTGGAGCTCAGCACACCCTGGAAAGAAGCAGCTGTGGTATGGGGGTGGGGGCTGGCATAAATATTTATGCTTAAATCAAAAATAAAATTAAAACTTAAGGGCAGAAGGGGCTTGTCTATGATACATTCACTGGCCCTAGGGATTGAAAGGTCTTGAGTATCTAACATCTCTTTCATTCTTTTCCGTGGAACAGGCCATCTCGGATTGGTCAGCCAGGGTTGGTCTCTTTCCTCCCCCATCTGGCTCACACACAGCCCTGAGGGTGGGGTCAGAGACTAGATTGCCCATTGTTGGAAGGAAAGATGAGAGATCTTGTCATTGGTGACCTATCTTTCACTGAGGAATGGACAGGGAGACGAACCAGGATAGGCAAGGTGCATTGTAAACAGTGGGCTAAGCAGGTCCTTGTTCTTGTAGAGGTCACAGTCTAGTGGAGGACA